CAGTGTCCTAGGTAACCATCTCTTTTCCTGTATGGGCATGGAATCTGTACCCCAGCAGCTCCGCTGGGCTAGAAACTCCAAAACAGAGCTTAAGAGCAAGAGAGCCAGGGCAGGCAGAGCACACATGGTGGCAGCAGCTCCGCTGGGGCAGTTTTGGAGTCCCAGCATAGCAATGCTGCTTGGGTGTGGACTTTGCTTCCTGACCCTGCCCCGCTCTGAGAACCTGTGCTCCCTGCCTTCCCCCTGCTCTCAGAACCATCCCCACTTTCTCTCAGAACCACATCCTCACGTCTCTGCCTTACAGCGTTTGCCCTAGGCACCAACTCGGCTGGTTATTCCACTGGGATATGGTACCTTTTTTACCTGTCACTATAAGAAGGTTTTCTACCTTCTAAGCAATCTACCAACATTCATCCTCACAAAACTTGTAGTCAAATATTAACTAAGTTGTACCAATGCAAAAAAGTTTTACAAAGGGGCAAAAGCTCAAAGAGGTCCCTCATGCAACCCACTTTGAACACACAATTTTACCATCACTATGACTTGTGTGCACAAATGACAAGGCTTTGTAGTGAACAAATGGGGATTTGCAGTGTTAACTCTACACTACATGTGTATATAAAAAAATGTACATGCAAGTGCTAATTCACTGGAAGGAAGTCCCAGTTTGATCCTGAGAATTCAGATTTCTTTTCAGAATCAGGATTACTTCTCTGGAGTTTTACGTAAGTTCTATGCCTCTGCCTACAAGAGCACATTGTCTTTATGAGACCATGAAGCCCAATTTAGAGAGTCCTCTTACAAAACATCAATACCATAAACCTGTCCTCACTCACTTGCTGGTGAGTAGCCTCATCACCATCCAGTCTCGAGGAAAAACGCTCATTTTCATCAGGTTCCGAAACACACAAAAAATCTTCAGAAGAAACTCCTAACACAGAAGTAAAAGAGAAATCAGCAGTAGTAAATGCAGACAAATGTAACTCCTTGCCATAGCCATGACAGTTTAGTTAATTATGCCTTTGTTACTTGATCTCTGTATGTCTTGGCCATACATTTGAGGGTGTGTGTGTGTTTACATTTCTAAAGAGAAAGAATGCAGTGCCCATGAAAGATGTCAGACTGCTTGTCGCAGAGAGCTGACCTTTGAGTTACAAATAGACATGATATAGCATCCTATTGACACAAGATTATACCGCTGAGCCATCCAGCTTCTCCAAAGAAAGGGATTTTTTAGTAAACAGAATAACTGAAAGTTAAAAACTTCTACAGAGAGACTTTTTATTACATTTCACTTTGTATGTTCAACTATTTTAGTACCTTTCTATTATGCTGTCAGTCTGATACTATTTCCTGTATTACTGAGAAATCACACTGTCCCCTAAAAAATCTGAATACAGCTCCATCTTCATTTGGTGACAAAGGGAAGTGACAAAATGACTGTTACTTCCATCACATTTTATCTTGTTCCCTAAATTATTTTGCCACTTATAAGACATGATTCATTCATACCAAAACAAGGTAATATGTAGGCTTCTATCACTGAGGTGGACAACTCCGAATTGTTGCTGGTAGAGAAGCCCCCAGCGAGGGCATATACACCTCACTGATTATCTCTGGGTCACCAATAGTTACCATTAATGAATTTGGGCAGCATGCCACAATGGATTACCATGGCCACTACTCCAACAGGCTGAAACAGTCTGCTAGTGACTTTTGTCTGCATAGTATTCAAGATCAGCCTTGTGACAAAAGAACAACATTAAAGTTTTTATTAAGTAAGCTCCTATGTATATACAACGTCTGGAATGGATTGAAGAAGGAACTGAATAATGTTCTGCATTTCTCAGCTATCTGATTTCTGAGAAAAATATTTGTTAGCTGATTCTACAAACACTATGCTCTGTCCTACCTTTAACTCATCCTTGCTTTGGAAGTTGTCCAGTAAATGCTGGAAATGAGTGTCTGACATTTGACGAAGCAAAGACAAGAGACAGGACACATACTCCCCCTGCCAATGAATTGAAAGAATTAAATGAAGAATTATTTAGTCCAGATATACAATGTTGATTTTTATATATATATAGATATATATATATATCTATCTCATTAAGTCAACCTGGGGTAAAGGATAAAGGGAGGGGTCTGAAATGGCCTCAATGCCTATGAAGGAAAAGCTCGTGCATGCAGTGATTAAAAATAATGTATGGTAACTCATCTTTATTTTCTGTTAACAGACTGGAAAAACCTCTCAGAGATTCATTTGTGTTCTGTTTTTAATAGGACTTATTAAAAATATTCTCATTTAAATAAACCCATTTAGCAAGTCAGGGCTGAAAATCAAAGGGCGTCTCTCTCCTAGTATGTACTCTTTTACTAAGCCTGTGTCTCCACACAGCAATCTAAAGGTGTTACTAAAGCTCATGTGGCACATCCAAGCCAGTGCTCAACTTGCAAACTAAGGCTTGCTGGCAACAGGTTAGCCACAACACCGTCAGGTCCATTTACCCACAGTATTTATACATTTGAGACCCTGGGTAAATACTTGGGCAGCTAGCCTGCACTGAGAAATATACTACTGTGGCCATAGTACCCAAAGGCAGCTATTTTTAGTCTATGTGAGCTGCAAAAACATATGCAAACTGCAGGACGTGTGTGTCCTAAGCCAGCTACCATATCAGATATCAAAATGCACTAGGACTCAAGAATTGTTATTTATAGTCCCAAAGGCATGAGTTTGAGCCTCACTCTAGATTTGTGCTGAAGACCATGGGTACCGGTCATTCAGGCTAGGAATCAAAGGCAGCTGGAAGCAGCTTGACTAACTGTTGCACTGTAACTGATTTTTTCCACAGTGGAAGAAATGGATTCATGATAGAAAAGGAAAAGAAAAGAAGCTCTGAGCATTCATGCATTTGAAATGATAATGAGGTGTAGGTGGTGGTGAAGAATTGGGGGACAAGGAAGGTTAGAGAAGCAGGAAATAGAACCTGATTGTTAGTTACTAACAGTGATTTCTGCTGTGCACTGCGGGCAGCGTTGCCCTCTTACCGCCTCCTGAGACTGCGATTTACTCATGATAGTAAGCAGAGTCTGTAAAAGTACATCCAGGAGGCTCTCCACCATCATCTCAACCTCCTCTACGACATCTCCCTCCTACAGCAAGCAGTAAGTAAACAGAGAGTCAGCAGCTGAGGACAGAATAGAAATGGCAAGCCGTATGTGCAGTGTCAGCCACTCCAGGAACAGCTTGCATGACAGGACTCAAGTTAAAAAAGTTGGGAAGAACTTGAAAACCCTGAGACAGAGGCTCAGAGAGTGACAAATAAATTGACACAGATGACAGCCAGAGCTTCAGTGTCTGTCTTCACCTTCTCCCTCCATAATACAAGAATACTGGATCACATCAATGGATATAAATCCACAATTTATTGTGAGGTCTGTGTGTTTTCTCTCTGTCACTACAGGGACCAAGCTCTACTGCAGTTATCCCTAATTCCATAGCAAGGTGCTATAGTAAACCCCTAATTCCATGGCAACATTATTTTATTCTACCATTACAACATCTTTCTTCCCACAATATCTTTCTTCCAATATCTTTCATAGTTGGAAATGCTGATGTGATTTATTTTTAACACCTTAATCCTTTGGGCTGAGTTGGTGCCCTTCACCACCCTTTTTATGTGAGGGTTTCTTTAAGTGATTAAGCTGGCACTGAAGATCAGAGTATATGAAAATAGAAGCTGAATGTTTAACTCAGCAGTATTTTCTGAAAATAAATGTGATTTTATTGATTTGATAATTTTAGAGCATTCTCTTAACATGCACCATAAAGTGCTACTTACTGTCTCCATTGGAACTGTAAGTGCTAGAGCTTAGAAAAGCTTTTGAGCACCAGAGACAACTGAGTTCCAAGCTAGGGTGATGAAAATTAAATAGTGCTGCACCTGGTAAATGTATATGTTTTTTAACAGTAAAAACATGCTGTAATCAGAAAGCTGTGAGTCATGAACACAACAGCACTCATTCACTTGATGTGTTCACCTGCTGATAATAAAATTAGCAGCATTCTAGGATAAAAACATTCCTTGAAAAATATATTTAACAAGTAATATACTCCAAGTCTGCCCTTGAGAAGCAGCCCTCATCTATGCTATAAAGTTCTGCTGGCAGAGACAGGACAGGTAGAGATGTAAAAAATTTCACCTTGTAGGTGACATAACTCAGAAAGGAAAACTCCTGGTGGGGGATACAACGCTGCCAGCAGAAAGCAGGTCCTGCTGGCAGAGTTTCTGTCATGTGGTAGAGCTGATATAACTGGTTGTGAAAAATGCCTACAGCCGACAGAGCTGTATCCACACTGAGGGAAGGGCTTGGGGGTGGGGGGCAGAAGGGAGAATCCTGACCACCTTCATGCAACCACTGTAATTAGGGGGACAACAAACAACCTCCATAGTGTAGATATAGTCTTAGTGAATGTATGGAGAAGGAAAGCAGCAGATTACCAAGGAACTGGTCTTGATAATGGAGAAGATACTACTAAGGATCCCAGAGCAGATGAGTAGTTCCTTCTGCTGTCTCAAGTGAAGGTGAATGTGATGAAGAACCACAGGCAGTAGGATGCGCCGGGACTCTAAAAGAAGGAAACTGGACTCAGAATTTTTCTGAGATATTTGCATTTCAGCCACTTGTGTTGGCAGCCTGCTTGCTATCCAGAAATGTGAATCAGGAATTAACATTATTACAAGATGCTGATATGCTGAATGGGCCCTTTCCAAACAGTGTGCCTGATTAAAATCTGTGATTGCCAGGGAAAAGAGGTTTAGTGCAAAACATTTCTAGGATTCAATACAATGAATTAATGGTACATCTAATTTAAAAAGTTCCTTTAAATAGCATGCCCAATGTTAACTGTTGTGAACTAGTTTGCAGACAATAGGCTTGTGGTAGCACCTCCCTGATGCGTAGCATATTATTTACTCCATGCTGCTTTCTAGCTCAAATGTGACAGCTGAATGTATCTATGTACAGCAGAATGCCAAACAGCCACACTTCAATCAACTGCATATCTAATCAACCACACAATTCTGTATTGTTTCCTTCTCTTAAAGTTGTATAAAGAGTTCTTGCTACTTTTGGAGAAAAAATTACTGGCTATTTGTGAGATCTTGGGCGGTGGGGGTGAGGGGGGAGACCTTTCTCTAAATTCCCTTATATGTTAACAAAGTACCAAAAAATTCAGTGTCTGGCTATCGACAGAGGAAACTTTGAATCACTTCAGAAGGGTAGGGAATACTGCTCTAGGTAGCATGCTTTAGCTCAGGGGTCCCCTACCTCAATTATTTTGGCTAGAGGGCCACTTAATCAGTTTTGGTGTCCTCTCTAGGGCCACATCTCTCTGCCCCTCCCTCCATCCCTTCCCAGGGCTGTAGCATGCCCCAATTTTCTCTCCCCGCCCTTTCCCTCACTTCCCAGAGCTATAGCATGCCCTGATTTCATCCCCACCATCTCTCTCCCCCTCCCTCCCTTCCCAGAGCTGTAGCATACCCTAATCCTCTCTCTTTCCCTCCTCAGAGCTGTAGCGTGCCCCAGTCCTCTCTCTCCCCCTGCCCAGAGATATAGCATGCCCCAATCCCAATTGCCACCTGGAACTTGCCGACCCAGTCCACAGTTTACACCACCACCTGCCTCATGTGGTGGAAGCAGCCCTAGGTGGGCACCAGCATCAGCTGTGGATGCACCCAGCAGGTGAGGACTAGGGCATCTGCCCAGGTCCACAGCTGATGCTGCTGTGTCAGTGCTGGGTAGAAGCAGTCCCGCCTGCCCGTTGTGTAGCGGAAGCTGTTCTGTCTGCCTGCCCAGCGCTGCATGGCAGCTGGAGCCGCTGGCCACCCAAGAGCCAGATCCCATGAGTTGGTGGCCACCTGCCCTTGGGCCAGATACAATAAGCTGGCCCATATTTTGCCCACCCTTGCTTTAGCCGTTATACTGTAACTGTTGCTTCGGCAAACTATTACAGCCGGGCTGTAAAATTAACCTTGAACAAAACAGGGTTAAAGTTTCAACACTTTGCTACACTTGTATCACCACACGAGCATGCAAATACCACCACTACATTACACAGTTACTGATCAACTCCATGTTTTCCTAATTGCACAAGGGCTGGTCCCAATTAATGCAGTTGTTTAACATTCAGCTTTATTTAATTATTAGGGAATAGTCTAATCTGTGAGTTCATCACCGCAAGGACTATCCAGTTCATTAAAGCAGCAAGGGTTTCTAGCCAGATCGGGATTCTTGTCTTCAGTGAGTTTCAAATGGCCTATCATCTACCCCTTCCCCATCTTTCCTGTCTAGTAAGTCTTGCCAGTGGTCATGCCTTCACCAGCTTCTAGGTCAGGGGTGGACAATTATTTTGGGAAGAGGGCCGCTTACTGAGTTTTGGCAAGCTGTAGAGGGCTGCATGGGTAGCCCCGCCCCTTGACAGGTGCCCTGACCCCTGGTCACCATCTTGGGATAAGAAGTCCTGCCCCAAACCCCCTGACCTTTGCCACCAGAAGTACTCCTTTCAGCAAGGGGTTTTGCCATCTCGGAACCACAAAAATACCAAATCATATTCTAAAAAGCAAACATCGAAAACATTCATTAATTTGATTTTAAAAAATATTTTTGCCCTGGTTTACATGTGTTTGCATAGTGTACATACAGGTGATTGCACAATGGGCTTAAAATGAAGTCTTACAGTTGTATATTGCGGGGGTGGGGTGGGTGTGTGGAGGACTGTGTGGGGGGAGGGTGGCTAGGGTATGTGAGGGGGCATGGGGTCTGCGTTTATGGCAGTGTGAGGGGAGTGTGGGGGCATGTGTATGGTGTGGTGTTTGTGTGGGACTCACCCTACAACACACACACACTCTGCCCCTACCTCCACACACACACACACACACACACACACACACACACACACACACACAC